GTGTGAGGGATTAACCCAACAAGCTCTAAGATGCTGTTTTTGGTTGGAGGCTTGAGCACTGTGTCTCAAAAATAATGCTGCCTGAGTGTTGTCTAATGAGTTTCAATATTTTGTCTGGCCAGGTTAGTATAGTGTAAACTTGTTTGGTTGTTGCCCTGGCCTAGCGCCCTATTTTTTTATTGCTTAAATACTAGTGATGGCTTTTGTTTAGTGCCAGGCAGCAGCTGCAGCACGTCAGGCGCAAGAAAAAAGGATGCTTGAGACAGGCTAACCACATTACATGTGCTAAACGTTACATTTTATCCTATATTTTATTAGTAGGACAGGTTAACTATACTACTAGGACGTACATGTCAGGCAGCCATTTCTTCTCTCAGGCCGGCAACCAAACAAACCATAAGCGAGTTACAGGCAGGTGTTCAGGCCAGGCAATTTCTCTCAGGTGGCAACCAAACAGCCCCATATAACACAAATTCATGAATTCAACAATGCAATGCAACAGAGTAGAATAAATCCTAATACAACAATTCAAGCATGTCAAAGTAAAATTAAACGTCCAGGTCACGGCTAGCCAAAACATGATGAATCACTCTTTGGACGCCATCTGTGTCGCGTGCTCTGTCGTGACCACCAGCCGCGTCGCGTCCGCTGCTTCGGCTGCCGCTCTTGTCGCCTCGTACAACCTATACAGGTTTATCTCCTTCATGGAGAATGTTGGGTGGGCGATTAGTATTATGCGGCCGAAGGGTTATTTATAGTGCAACAGAAGTGGGGCGAGAGTGTGACATCTGTAGAGGAAAGGCTAACTCAGGTTTCGATTATCCCACGGTTGGCTCAACTGTTTACGGTGATATTTATCTACTAGCTGCTGCCTTAGCCTAGTTACCCAAGTATTTTAAGAATTGCATAAATAATCTGCTGAACGTTGTACTCCCTCTGCTTTTATTTACTCCGCATTTTAGCTTTGCTCGAAGTCAAACTTTGTAAACTTTGACAAAGTTGATAGACAGAAATAATAATATATACAATAACAAATCAATACCATTAGATTCATTATTGAATATACTTTCACATCATATAGATTTGCTATTGTAAATGTTCATATTTTTTCTATAGATTTGGTCAAATTTTATGAAGTTTGACTTCAGTCAAACCTAATACGCAGAGTAAATAAAAACGAAGTGAGTACTTATCTATTCTCTTCTCTTCTGGAGTGACATTTTAAGCAATAATCCCAGTATGATGATCCAGTTACACAAACTATTAGCACATATTTATTTTAGGTCGTTACATCCGTTCCACCTTGTAAAAATTTCGACCTCAAAATTTATGTACCTTAATCTCAGAAGAGGTGCACAGATGTTTTTCTTAAGTCGTCTTTCCTTTCCCAGGTAGCCTCATCCCGCTGTGATTATTCCATTGTACTTTGGTGATCCGAATGATTTGGCACCTAGCCTCGCGGTCTTTAATATCCAATATACGGATGGGATATTCTTTTGCATGATAGATTCTCCCGCGGTTGAGACAATTCTAGCTAGTTCTACCGGTTGATGTGGTGGTTTTAGGCATTTATAAAGTAAAGACACATGGAATACATTATGTACTCCAGCGAGAGCCTTTGGGAGCTCTAATTGGTAGCCCACCTCTCCGATATGTGTGGTAACACCGAAATGTCCAATATATCTTAGACTCAGCTTCTTTTCCTGTCCAAAGCGTTTAACTTCTTTCATATGGGAGACTTCTAAATGTACCAAGTCTTCTATTTCCAAATGAAAGTCCCTTTTTTTACTGTCAGCATAGCTCTTTTTTGTCTACTCTGTGCAGTTCGGAGTCGATGGCGTATAAGCCTTACATCCTAGAAATTTCCTCTCTTCAACCTCATCCCAATAAATCGGCATCGGTCTGGACGCCCGCAAAGCTCTCCCGCTTTGTTCCCGGTTTGCGGAGAAATGTGTGTCTGGACCACTCAGCTGACCGGTGTATGTCCGTGTTGGATGACACAACACGTCCGAACCGACGGTCGCGGGCGGTTCACACAACGAAACAAACTTTAAAAAGGTTTGACCTAGGGTAATCATAAAAACTTGAATTAGTTCAAAACGGAGAGAGCACTATTCGATGTCCAATTTGTTAAAAGGAAAAATTCAACAACATACATCGACTTTGTGTAGACAGGCACCAGTGTAGTAGTGGTGAGAGCGGGGGACAGTTTTTTCCCCTTGTTGAGGGGTACGATTCAACGCTTCAGTCGTCAAGACGACGACTGGGCAAAATCCCTCTCCGCCGGCCAGCCCAATGCCTCCCCCCACCCTCCCCCTCCCGCTCCCCGCCGCCCTCCGCGGCGGCAGGCCGTCCGACGCCCGCCGCCGGGGCCGCCTCGCCACCCTCGCCCTGGCCCTCCTCCTCGCCGCCCTCGCCCTCGCCGCCTACCTCTCCTCCCCCGGCGCCGCGCGGCCGCTCGCCGCCGCGGATAACCGCTGCGGGGGAATCCAGGGCCTCGAGCTCTGGGGCCCCGCGGTCAACTGGGGCTCCAACCACCGCCTGCCCTCCGCCGCCGCCTGCTGCGCCTCCTGCAAGGCCCACCGCCGCTGCGACTCCTGGGTCTTCTGCGGGGACCGCCGCAGGTGCGGCAACCGCTTCGGTGAGGTACTCCCCGTCCCTCCCCTGCGCCTCTTGATCCTCGCAGGGCATCGTAATCTTATCAAGCGCTTGCGAATTGTGACTGCAGTGCTGGCTTAAGAAGCAAAATGATGCCATGGCTCCTTCTGTAATCGCGAGGGGGGAGGATGTCATGTGGACTTCTGGCCTCGTCTTTGGAAAATCACAGGTCTGTTGGCATCATGGAGCCAGAGAATTTCATTTCATAGTATGTCTTGAGATAATGTTCTGCCGATGAAATTTCGGTTCAGCTCGCTGAGCATGTGGTGCAGTCCTATAATGTAGACAAATATTTGCATCGTATATTCTTTGCTTCAGAAGGAAAGAAGAACCAAACATCAGATGCTGGAATGCTTTAAAGAGAAAGAAGAATCAGACATCACATGCTGGAACGATTATTAAAAAAGAAAGAAGAACCAAACATTTTTTTGTTTGTTTAGAAACTGTGTCAGCTGACTCTTCTTATTATGATCTTCCCTGGTATGGATCTCATTTATAATCAAAGGTCTGCAACTTAATGTAGGGAATTGTGGGGCTGGAAACAAGTGCCGGCACGCTTGGCATCCAAGTAAGTTGTATTCTCTGTCTCTACCAGCTGGGCCAAGGATATTTTCAAGGTGTTAAAGTATTCTGAGGGACCATTTCTAGAACACTTTCAGTGTTTGGCCTTTTTAGTTTTCCTTGATGACAACCGCAACCGGAAGATGGTAGAGTGGTGTTCACACTTATTTCATTACACACGAGCATATTTTCAAGCTGCTAAAGCTGCAAGTTCTAAACGGAGTTTACAGAATGCTGTTTCAGCTTATCGAGATAAATGCTTTGCCATATGGATGGTTTTTTAAATGGGGAAACAATTGTGGCAGAGGCCCACCAATTGATTTTTCTAAATATCGTTAGATCCATGGCTGCTCTGGCTTGGATTTATGCGTTTGACATGTCCAGTTCCTAAATGTCCGTCTATTGTTCGGCTCTTATTCTTACAAATAGTTTCCCAGCAAGAATATGTCAAGTAAACATCTATTCTAAGTGATTGTTCTGTTGCTAGCCTAGGCTCTTAAATAGTGTAGCCGATAATACATTTCGTTTTGTCACGGAGCTAATTCTGTCTTGATGATTCCCATCAATTCGTATTTAGTCATAAAGCTTATTTCCCTGGATGATCCATTTCAGTGCTTCGTCTTCGTACTGAAAAGGCAGCGTGTACTTTGAGCTGACTGGAAATATTCTGTAATTTTTGTTTCCCTCGGTATCATATACTGCATTCTTGTCCCTTTCTCTAATACATATACTTCCATTGCACCCAGTTGCTACCTGATTGTGCACCCCATTCTGTGGATTACTTCATCGAGCTAGTGCGCCTGCACAACTGCGCTGGATGCAGATTCTATCGCGCCGAAGGCCGTGGGGCCCTGTGGGACGCAAAAGGAGACCACGTAAAAAATGTATGGCGTCTATGGTTGTTTAACCATCTTGCGTCTTGCATAAGAGGGAGTCCAAAGTGACATTTGTGTTTCTGGAATTGCCTCTTGGTAAGGACTGTCGGCCTACTGACGAATGTTTCTTCTGGGTGCAACTAGGCTGCATTTGGTCCACCATACGCGGTGCTGCAAGGGACGCTGGAAGTCGACGGCGTAGCCTTCAAGGAGATGCCGAAAGAAGGGTGCTCGACGGTGAGAAGGGGGTCCGTGGCGTGGATTGGGTCAGGGCCAGAGTTCCTGATCAGCCTAGCGGACCATGAGGAGTGGAGAGACGCCTACACAGTGTTCGGCTCCGTGCTGCCGGAGGACTTGGCCATCGCCGAGGAGATGGCGATGCTCCCCACCAGCACAGACGTCTGGAGCGGTGTGACCGTCAGGCTGCTCAAGGACCCGGTGTATATCAAGGTGAAGAGAAGAAGCAACACGACTGCCTATTGAGCTCGCCGGCGATTTTGTTGTTGTTCTTATTTCACTTGAGATGTAGCAGTAGTGCCAAAAGATAAGAACACAAATTACATGTCCAAAGAAAGAAAGAAAGAAAATAGAGGAGGTTTGAAGAGAACTGTTACACCTGTGGATTTCGTGGCCATTTTACAGAAGAAAATTTCCCCAATTTGTTGTTTGTTCTGATGTTTTTTTTTTTCTGTTGATGAATGATGAGGAATGTTTTGCTTTGATGTTTTTTTGAGAAAGAAATCATGTTGGTTGATGGGCCGGGTAGGCACCAAAATTGAGACGGCCCACGGGCCATAGGCGGTACAGGAAGAAAGGGGAAGTCGCCGTGGAAGGGGAGGGAAGTGGAGGAGAGGCACCCAAGAGTAGACGAACGGAACCAGCTCGCCGCCGCCGCCGTCGCCGTCGATGCTGCCGTTCGAGGAGCAGGCGGTGGCGGACCTCCTGGAGGACCCCAACGGAGGGCTGGTGGTGGTCTCCTCCGGCCTCCCGCTCGCCTCCCTCGCCGCCACGCTCCTGCTCCACCTCCACCACCAATCCACATCCTCCTCCTCCTCCGGCGGCGGGGGCGGCGGATGCTTCCTCATCCTCTCCGCCCCGGACGCCCTCAAGGACCAAATCCGGCGCCGCCTCGTCGAATCCCAGCTCCTGCAGGTCCACGACGTGGCCTCCGACGTCCCCGCCGCCCACCGCCGCGCGCTCTACTCCTCCGGGGAGGGCGTGGCGCTCTTCCTCACCCCGCGCGTGCTCGCCGCGGACCTCCTCACCGCCCACCTCCTCCCCTCCCGCGTCCAGGCCCTGCTCCTCCTCGCCGCGCACCGCTCCTCCGACACCTCCGCCGACGCCTTCATCGCCCGCCTCCTGCGCCAGCACCGCCTCCTCCCCGTTTACGCCTTCTCCGACCGCCCCCACGCCATGGTCGCCGGCTTCGCCAAGGCCGAGCGCACCATGAAGAGCCTCTACATCCGCCGCCTCCACCTCTGGCCGCGCTTCCACGTTCTCGCCGCCGCCGACCTCGAGCGCTCCCCGCCGGAGGTCATCGACGTCCGCGTGCCCATGACGCACCCCATGGTCGGCATCCAGGCCGCCATCCTCGACGCCATGGACGCCTGCCTCAAGGAGCTCAGGCGGACCTACAAGGTCGATGTCGAGGACCTCACCATTGACAAGGGCCTCTTCAAGTCCTTCGACGAGATTGTCAGGAGGCAGCTCGACCCCATCTGGCACACCCTCGGCAAGAAGACCAAGCAGCTCGTCGCCGACCTCAGGACGCTACGCAAGCTGCTCGATTACCTTGGCAGGTAGTAATCCACACTATTAATCTGCTTGGTGTAGCAACACAAATTGTGCACATAAGTGGACAGTCAGGCACCCTCTTTATGCTCTTTAGATGATGGCTAGGTATGATGCCGTGACATACTTGAAGTATCTGGACACTCTGAGAGTGTCTGAAGGTGTTCGATCGGTTTGGATGTTGGCTGAATCAAGCCACAAGATATTTGAGCTTGCAAAAAGGCGTGTTTACCAGATTGTGAGACCGGATGGCACAAGGGTTTCAATTGCCAAGGGCACGCCAACGAAGAAGAGGAAGGTGACACCCAGTAGTAGCAAGAAAGGAAAAGAAACTGGTAGCGGCTATTAGCCCCTTGTTTTCCATTAATATACTCTGTTTTCTCCTAAGTAAACATTTAGTTAACAGATGGTCACTGTCCTGCAGAAAATGAGGATTCTGCTGCTAACAAGGATGACGCTCAGAAGGTAAATGCAGAGGCTTCCTTTCTACTGGAGGAGGTTTTGGAGGAAGCACCAAAATGGAAAGTATTACGGGTGAGAGGTTCCGTTCTTGTTTCTCAGTTTTCTTCCAAGCAGCAGTCAGCATTACTTATTTATTTACTTCATACATCACAGGAGAAAAAATCCTTTAGATTGGCACTTCTGTTCCATTCCACCTACATTTTATACTAAATGTTAAATATAAACTATAGCTCACTTTTCTTGTTTTGTTCTTGTAGCAACTCCCCCCTACTTACTACATAGTTCAAGTAGATTATTTATCATCTAGACACTCTTTACCTCTATTACAAATGTTTTTACCTGATATCCTTTACACATCTTTGCAGGAACTGTTACAAGAGATAGCCGAAGAACAGAGAAAGGGAGATGGTGTCGTACATGAAGATGAAAATAATGAATGTGGCATAGTCTTAGTAGCATGCAAAGATGAGCGCTCATGCTTGCAGCTGCAGGAATGCATATCGAGAAGTCCCCAGCAGGTAACTGCAGTGTGTCTTAAATGCAGTTAGATCAATCTAATAGCACAGTTGCTATTTAATTTTCATTGCCTTTCTGCACATATGTATCCTTTTCTTCTTAAATGCAAGTTTATTTCTTACTAGCTAAAACTTGTCAGTTTAACCATGTGAACCCTTCATAACACTTTAACTTGTTTTAACAAGGTTATGCGAGAAGAGTGGGAGAAGTACTTGCTTGGGAAAGCCGAGCTGTTCGGATTACATAAAAAGAAGAAGAAACGATCTCAGCAACCAAAAGGGTTTGGTGTCCTGGATGGGGAATTTCCCACAGGGTCTAATGAGAATGAGAATGAGAATGCAGGGCCAGTAAGCATTAGCAAGCTTGAGACTAATGCTTTACTTGCTGCCGCCTCTGGTATAAGCAGTTTAACTAAGGAAGCAGATGCCAAGGAGGATTCAGTTCCCAGCTGCGGCAAGAAAGGTTCTGTAAAGGGAAAAGGAAAGAGGGTGCCAAAGAAAACCCTGACAAAGAGACAAGCCAGTAAAAGGAAAAATAAAAGTACTACAGAAAATGATAATTGCCAAGGTACTGATGTGGAATCATCAGGCAAAACAGATGAACAGTCTGATATTAATGTCTCTAAGGTGTCTGCTGAAGATGCTCCTGCTCCAGCCTCCACTTCTGACAATGTTGAAGACTTTATTGATGCCAAAATGCTACCTCCTGTGCAATTTTATGCCCTAGACAGTGATCAGCATGTACTAGACATATGGAAACCATCCGTAATTATTGTCTATCATCCAGACATGACCTTTGTCAGAGAAATTGAGGTATACAAGGCAGAAAACCCATCACAGAAGCTGAGAGTTTACTTTCTTTTTTATGAGGAATCTTCTGAGGTGCAAAAGTTTGAGTCGAGCATCCGCCGAGAAAATGAAGCATTTGAATCATTGATCAGACAGAAGTCCCTGATGATGATACCTGTTGATCAGGTGGTGTTTCAGTTGAATCTCTCCATTAATAAAAGATGTTACCCTAGTAGTAACTTCTGCTTGGCCTTAGCCAAGCATTTACCATGTGAATGATGCTGCATAATGGTTTCATGAAATGGCTGCTACGCTTTAATCAAGCAGATATGATGTTTATTTTAACTTCTAACCACCATTGCATGGGCAGAAAATGCTGGCTTACACTTTATGAATGCTGTCTTATTTCTCTTCAGAGTGGCCGTTGCATTGGACCAACTCCGGCAAATGAACCAGAACCTCTTTTGTCTCAGAATTCACTGACAAGAAAGGCAGGTGGTAGAAAGCCAACAGGGAAGGATATGCAGGTGACACTACTGATCCTTATTTTTATTTTGATAAAGAAACCACATGTCATGTTTCTGTCTGAATTCCTAAATTGTTCAGCACTGTATTCTTCCAGGTTATTGTAGACATGCGGGAGTTCATGAGCAGTCTTCCCAATGTACTGCACCAGAAGGGTATTCGAATAATACCGGTGACGCTGGAAGTTGGCGACTATGTTCTTTCTCCCTTGATATGTGTTGAAAGAAAAAGTATTGCAGACTTGTACCAGAGCTTTGCTTCTGGTCGTCTCTACAATCAGGTCGAGACCATGATTAGGTATTACAAGATCCCAGTGCTTCTGATAGAGTTCTCACAAGATAAGAGCTTCTCCTTTCAGGTATTTTTCATGCTAGTTTGTCATATACAGATGGTCTCCACAAAGGGTTGTCCTATTCGTATGAGTAAATCATAATTCATTTCCATGGGAAACAGAGTCCAGTATTCATTGTTGGTTGCACCTGATGGTCTGCTTACTACTGGTGTGCTCATTTCTCTCGCAGTCTGCAAGCGAAGTTGGGGACGACGTGTCTCCGACAAACATAATCTCGAAGCTGTCACTGCTAGTCCTGCATTTCCCCCGGCTTCGCATCGTGTGGTCCCGCAGCCTGCATGCGACAGCAGATATATTCATGTCGCTGAAATCAAACCAGGACGAACCTGATGAGAACAAGGCGATGAGAGTGGGTGTGCCGTCGGAGGATGGGGTCGTGGAAGACGACGTGAGGTAAAACTAACATGTGTATCTGGATGTGGCAAAGCAGATATAATTACTATTGATGATATGTTATGGTTAACGGTAAAATTGTGGATTGTCAGGGCCGAGAACTACAACACATCCGCGATCGAGTTCCTGAGACGGCTCCCTGGCGTGACGGACTCCAACTACAGAGCGATAATGGACGGATGCAATAGCCTGGCGGAGCTCGCGCTGCTACCGGTAGAGAGGCTAGTGGAGCTGATGGGCAGCCAGAAGGGTGCCCGCACGCTCAAGGAGTTTCTGGATGCCAAGTGTCCCAGCATGATCTCATAGCATAGCATCAAACTCTAGTGGTCTGGTGAAGTGAGCTCTTGGGAGAGTTCTTGTTAGGTAAGTTGGGCTAGGTTATTTGGTAGTGTAATGGAGATCACATTTGTGTGAGGAGGACTGGCAATTGGGTAATTGAATTCCATCCAAATCTAATGGTAAATATGTGATTGCTCTTAGGAAAGCTGGCTTAATGATGCTGTAAATAAATTTGGCTTGAGCAGGTTAGAGTTGAGTAGAAGCTCTGGAACAAAATGATCTGGATCTCTCAAAACTTGTACTGTACTTTTAAATGGAAGAAGTAGAACACGAAATGCATAAGAATATTTTGTATAATGTTCTAATGTCACAAGACAAAAAAACGAGTCACTAGATTTTTGGATTTCTTCTTACCATTAATGATATTTGGCACAATACAAAAGTGTATTGGTGTGGATATCAGATTAAATATCGCAACTCTTTTTTCAGATGGTTTAATCTTTTGTTCATTTGCAAATATTTTAGTAACATGCTTCACCGTTCATGAAAATATATGTACTCTCTCCATTTACTTATACAAGGTCACTATGGAATATACCTTTTGCATCTATACAAGACCACCAACAGTAATCGAGGCAAAAAATGATGTTTCCTCGTACTAACAACTTGTTTAATATCAGCTTCTTCCTCCATTCATGTAGTCATAATGACACTCAGCTTCTTCCTTCATTCAGTTTTCTTGCATGCATACAGTGTATTAATGATCCTAATAAACAAGAAAAAAAGTTGGGTTGTAAAACATGTATTAAATTTTACCTTGGTACCTGTGATTTGAGTTTGTGGCCTTGTATATAAAAATGGAAGGAGTATTTCAATAGACAAAGTTCAATAAATGAAATTCAAAACGGGGCAAATTTGGCAGAAGTCTTTGGAACCTTTTTTTTAGGGAGCTTTGGTGCATCTAGGGGGAAATCTTACAGAATTGTAGTTAGAGGTGAGATGGCAACATTTAACTGGGGAGGAAGGGGCCAGCTTGAAATTAGTGTGTGGTGGTGGTGGGGGACTATTGAGGAGAGTCCGTAAGGCCTTGTGCAATGTTCGTAAGGAGGATCAAAACCCACGTTTGATGCTTTGATGTCTCAGAGAATATTCTTTTAGTGGGAGACGATGTCCCCGTCGATATCAAGGTAACTATAATGAATTTGTTAATCTCAAGACCTGTCGGTTTAATCTCTCGAAGGTGCTCATATGGACAGGGTATGAGTCCATTTATTCATATGGGTGAGTGTGCGTGTTTGTAAGCGTTTGCGTCTATACCATGATTAAAAGAAGATGGTCAAAGAAATAAAATACTTCCTCTGTTCACTTTTATAAGGCGATGTAGACATTTCAGACAGTGTGCAAAACAGTTCAATTTTAGTTGTCTGAAACGACTTACAAAAGTGAACGGAGGGAGTAGTTTTTTCTTAAGCACCGGTGCTTCTGCTTGCTTCGACACTCATGAATCGTGATATATAGATAAACATTGGCTTAAGAAAAATACAATTAATTTTATTAAACATCTCTTTAAGCATCTTTCATTGTACTCACTCTGTTCCAGATTGGATGTAATAACGTCTTATATTACGGGACAGAGGGAGGTGTAGAATTTTTATTTGAAGAAAAGTACTTATCTTTAATTGAAGAAGCTTTTTTAAGGAAATATTTTTTTTGAGGCAAATTTAGGGAAATAACTTTTTTATTTTGAGACATGGGAAAGAAGTTTTTTTTTTTGAGAGATCGACATGGGAAAGAAGTGTTTGTGACTTGTGAGTTGTGACCGGAAGCAGCACGGCAGTAGAGCAGCCGATTTCCCCGGCCCGGCCCAAACTCTCCAAAGCCACCACTTTTGGTTTGGTTTCTCCCTTCCCTCCGGCCGGCGCCGCCACCATCCACCACCCATGGCGCTCGCCGCCCTCGAGAGCTGCTTCCGCGCCGTCCCGCCCGAGGCCGTCGCCGCCGTCGTCGACTGCGTGCTCGCCTCCTCCCCCTCCGCCTCGCCCTCTGAGTTCTTCCGCTCCCTCCTCGACTCCTTCCCCAAGGTACTGCTCACTTCCCCCAGCCACCGTCTCTCTCTTCCGTCCCCACAAGCTTCAACTCAACCCTCTTTCTTATCCTTCCTTGCAGGCGCAGGACGGCGGCCACGGCCATGCCGCCGCCCTCTCCCACGCCGCCGCGCTCTGCCATCTGCTCCCCCGCCTCGGCGACGACCCCAGGGACGCCCTGCGCGCGCTGCTCTGGGGGGTCTTCCTGCCACTCCTCCGCCGGGAGGACGCCCAGCCCAGCCGGCTCCAGCAGCAGGCGACCGCGCTCATGTGCGACGCCGTCTCCAGCGCCCGGTCCTGGGACCTGCTCGGAGCCACCATCCTGCCCTTCTGCGTCCGGTCCTGCGCTGCTGCAATGGCTTTGCCCACCACCCACCAGTATGATGGTGACGACTCCATTGTGTACCGCTACCACTGGGACGCTGCTGTCGCCCCGGATGATGGGCTGTCAGGGGAGGCAGGGCTGCTGCCGCTCTCCAGGGCCACTGCGCTCCTGGCGTCGTTGCTCGGAGACGCGCTGAAGAGGAGAAGGGAGACCCATGAGGAGGGCGCCGATGCTTCGCTGGATGCATTGGTGCAGAATTTGACCTGGGACCTGTCCAGGCTGGTGCTCAAGATGTTTGACCTCGGCCAAGAGTATCGGTCTTGCGCCACCCGGGTCCTCCTGCAGCCTATGCTGACTTCACTAGCAGATGTTTCTTGCGTCACCGTCGAGTTCGGTGCGGTCCAGCTTAAGCTATCTAGGTCGGCCTTCTTTCCTGAGCTGTTGGAACATGATAGTTTAAATTGTTTTGCTCAAGTTAATCTTTCTCTGGCATACAGGTCTGGTTTCTTGGAGTCCATTTGGAACTCCTGTGTCTCTCTGTTCTCTCTTGGCCGCCCTGAGCGGCTGGATGCGTACGCTATACTCTCTCTGTACTTCTCGGTGTTGAAATCGGGACATCAGGGTGCTATCCCTGGAGCTGACGAGGTCCAGAACTTTGATCTAAGGAACGTCACTGAGTTTTGGGATGAACTACGCAGGGGGCTGGTAAGCCATTTACTAGTTAATTACTTTGCTATTTGTACCAAATTTTGGAACTACGCCGTCAAGTTTCACATGGGGGGTAACACATTTTGACTTTCCCTACACACCAGGTTGATAAGGACTCTTCAATAAGGAAGCAGGCCTTTTACGTCTTGAAAACATCGTTAAGCATATTTTCTTTTGGAAATGATGGGAGCCAGCGATGCTCTGGCAGGAGCCCAGCTGCTTTGCCTGGTCAAGACAAATCAAATGCCGCTGTGACAAAAAAAGAAAGGTGGGCTAACAAAGAGGCCAAGTCCCTAGGTGTTGAAGAAATCAAGCAATCAGATGAACAATGTTCAAGTGGTCAGGACCGATGGAAGGTCTTTCTGTTACTCTATGAGATGCTCCAGGAGTTTGGGACACATTTAGTTGAGGCAGCCTGGGCACACCAGGTTAGTTCCTTTCTGCATGTTTCTCTTATCAAACTATTCACAGCAAGATATGTTAATTGCCTGCGATACTTAATTTAGTATCTGTTAAATCTTAGGTGGCTAAATATTCACTCAGTACTATGACAACACGACAATAGATTAATCAATCACTACACACTTCTTTGCTTCAACTGCCTAACATGTTTAAAAATAATGCTCAGGTGCTGTTATTGTTTGAGTCTACACCACAGAGTGACTATTTGAATCACATATCATACAGAGCTTTTCATGCTCAGATGGAATCCGTGGAAGGAATTTTCAACTGGATGACGGTACTGTGGGAGCGTGGGTTTACTCAGGATAATCCTCAAGGTCAGTACTGATAGTATGTACATGGTATATATGTTTAGAATGTTGCTTAATCTGCTTTTATGAATGCCCTTTGCAGTGCGGTGCCTGGTAATGCAATCCTTTTTGGATATTGAATGGGAACGTTACAAAGGCTATGCCCAAATGGTCCCTAGAGGCTTTGTTCTTGGCCCTCTCATACGTGGTTTGAATGATGTAGTTCATCATAAGGATTTTGGTTAGTTCATTTGTTTTTCACTTCATTCAATAGTTATTCTGTTGAATTCAAATATGTGCTTTACTTTGCACTTTACAGTGCAGTTTACTTCTTCTTGGTAATTTTTCAGGGACCTCCTTAGATACAGAAGTACCATTTTTGAACGAAATAGATAAAATAATTGTAGAAGCATTTCTTTGTTTATGTTTTCCTTTGCAGCAGATTTGGATTGAAATTTTGTTAGCATTTTGGGTAACTTGATTGCATGTGATAGTTCCTCTGTTCTTAGTTATGGATTTTGTCCTTGGGCAATTATTTTACATTTCACTGTTTGCATTGCAATACATCTGACATGCCCTTGTTTAGTGATCCATGATGCTTATCAGATTTTTTTTCTTTTATGGCATATTTGCTTTCTTATGGCACACTGTTCAACAGATCATTCATGCTCAGCTGAGCTGTCTGCTTAAATTATTTGTAGGTGTTGGTGGTGTGTATAATTCAGAAGCCATAAAAGGTGCAGAGAGGTTTTTCAGCAATTATGCCCGGAAATTGACGATACGGTACTACTTCTCGGATAACTACTGCCCTTTGTGCCTGTTTCAGGATTTGTCGCACTTTCTCTTATTGTATATATGAGAGCTGATAATTTGGACTATGTAAATGAGTTTGCTTGTGCAACACTTTCTGTTATTGTTTAACTTATACATTAATTAAAGGGTGCCAACATGTATCATAATGAGTACTCTCTCCGTCCCAAAATAAGTGTCTCAACTCTGTACTAACTTTAGTACAAAGTTGAGACACTTATTTTGGGACGGAGGGAGTATTAAACTTGACTTTTGCAGTATTGTGTATTTTTTTGGTTGAAAGGTTACTGTGTACTCAATATATATATGTGCAGTATATAGTTCGGACAACATAATTAGATAGAGCTT